TATCTGTTGGCTTATGTATGCACTCCGGAAGATCGTTAATATAGAGTACAAACAATAGAGGCCCCAGAATAGACCCTTGGGGTACCCCTGATGTAACACTTAGTAAATCTGAGCAGTCACCGTCTATTACAACTTTTTGGGATCTTGCAGTAACATAGTCCGCAAACCAGTCGTGAAGTGTCCCTCCAAAGCCATGACGTTTCAATTTGTCAAGAAGTGGATGATGTGAGATTCGATCAAAGGCCTTCGAAAAATCTAAGTAAATTGTATCAACCTCATGCCCATTACCTAAAGCCTCAAGGATTTTATGATAAAATCGGACGAGCTGGGTAACACAATTTCTGCCTTGAACGAAACCATGTTGATAGAAGGTTAGTTTATGTTGTATAAACTCGTAACAATGATTATATATACATCTCTCCAAGACTTTCGACAAAATCGATAAGAGGGAAATGGGTCTATAATTTGTCACTACATGGGGATTACCCTCTTTTAGAATTGGAGTTATAAGAGCTGTTTTCCATGCTGAAGGCACTTTTCCAGAACACAACGATAAGTTAAAAACTTTAGTCAGGGATGGTGTTATCTCGGTTGCAATAGCTTTTAAAAGTCTTCCTGGTATACCATCCGGACCACTTGCCTTCGAGACATTAATATTTTGTAGGCGGTTAAGCACTTCGTTTTCAGATAGCGTGATGTTTGTTAATGACGTGTGGGAGTCTAAATTTGCATAGTCATTATTACTGCATACATTATCAGTCGCTGTAAAAACAGACTGAAAATAAACGTTAAACAAATTGGCTTTATCGACAGGGGTCGAAGCAAACGCGTTGGAAAAGTTGACAAACTCCGGTATACCAGGCTTCGCAGATTTAGCTCTTACAAACGACCAGAATCGTTTGGGGTTCTCTTTTATAGACATACGCATGTTGTTTAAATATTCAGTATACTTAGCTTCGATAAGTTGTTTGGCTTCTTTACGCTATTGCTTATACTTATTTACATCCTCGTTGTCAAAGCTTTTGTTTGCGATACGCCTTTGTTTGTCCTTCTTTCGAAGAAGACGAATTACATCCTGGTCAATCCATGGAGTGCTATTTGAGTTCCTAATTTCAATTTTAGGAACATACTTTTCCACAATTTCCATAAACATTTTTGTCCAACTTGACAAGGTAGCATTGACACAGTCGTAAACAAACACTTGATCCCAAGAGGCAGATGTTAACGCAATTTTAAGTTCATTCCATTTTGCTTTTTTGAAATTAAAAACACTTTTGCTAATCTTATTCCGTTTAGGGATATTAAAGTCCAAATAAAACTCAATCAATTTATGGTCTGTACTTATGGTGTCGTCGAATATTTCTAAGTTACTTATCTTATGGGGTATATTTGTGAGAACAAGATCTAAAATATGTTCCTTCCTAGTTGGTTGGTCGACCAATTGCCATAGGAAATTATCCCGAATAGCTTTAGTAAAGTTGTCATAAAGTTGACCAGTTCCATTATTAGTACTTGAATTTGTATTCCAATTCATATCTGGCAAATTAAAATCACCCAGTACAACAATTTGAGTAAAACGGGCCACTCTTGCATTTTTTAAACACTTATTGAACGCATTCATATAGACATGATTTGTTGAAGGCGGGCGATAGAAAACAAGTACTAAGATTTTTTTCTTTTGAGTCGGTCTCACCTCGCAAGCCAGGATTTCAGCGTCAGTCTCTAGATCAGTTCTTCGTGTCGAATACAATGGCTTCCGGACTGCCAACATAACACCACCACCCCGTCTGTCAGTCCTATCTCGACGATGAATACAGAAGTCACTTGGAGATAATATTTCAGCGTCGTTAATTGTAGGATTAAGCCATGTCTCAACAATAGCAATCAAATCATGTTCATTGACACTTTCCAGGGCAGTTAAATGATTTGCTTTGTTTACTATGCTTCGAGAATTGAGGGAGAGAAATTTCAGCTTGTGTTGCAAGATATTCGTTGAATTTTGTGTGCCAGGTCCAGGATTGATTTCGATATCGTATTTCAACAAAAGCACAGGACGAAATTTTGCTGTTGAGTTAGGATAATACGAAATTGAACAGCCACAAAGATGGTTGCAATCGTTAACTGTGACCTTCGACTTTACCCGCCAGCTCCAAATACACACAAAGTTATGATAACAAACACCACTTTGCCCACCAATAAACTCGAGATCATATCCCAAACCCATGAGAACATGACTCCGATCATCCTTGTATGGTCTGCTATGTATAACTTGCTGCAAAAACAAAGACAAAAGCAGCAAAGCGAAAAAGCCAGAGAGAGCACTTTCAGCGCGACTGTCCGCCATGAATTATAATGGCGAAACGCTTTGTTTCCATTTTGAACTGCTGTATTTTTAAAATATGATGTACTGTCTGAATATCTAACACCATTTTGGTTCGCTATGCTCCTAAATGAATATGAAATATAGTTTATATTCAGAAAAATTCGAAACATTCGAAATTTGGGCAATGTTTACAGTAGAGGGTCCTCACATTGTTATGAGCAGAACCGGTACACAGAACGGACTTGACTTCCACTTTAATAACTATTTTATCCGGGAAGTTGTAATATTTTATCCCGGAACTTGCAATTTTTTTATCTCGTTATGGTATCCGCCAAAACTAGAAAATAGATGCTTGCAGAAACATTCGCCTTACTGACAAAACCAATACACGCCTGTCAAAAATGCATCCAAAAGCGCCAAAATGCGATATGGGGCGGGCAGCGGTTTTCGTTGCAAAAGTATTCAAAACATGCAAGTTAGATGAAGAATACAGAGCGAAATTTTCAAAATGGCGGGCAAACTGAGTAGAAAATTTAGGACTATTAGACGTAGTTTTACAAGAAGTTGTTCGCCATACAGTGGCGTAGCCAGCCCGACAATTTCGTCCCGCTATGCAAATTCAACATCAATATCATTATTCATTTCTTTAGAAATTTATTGTTTTCACAGTCAATGAACACAAAAATATTTGCATAGCGGGACAAAATCGTCGGGCTGGCTACGCTACTGTCGCCATAATGCTGGAAATGATGGGAAAAGCGATGGGGCAAGGAAGATAAGGGATGCCTTGTGAACAGTGGCCGTAGAATCGGAGTTGGACTCCGACTGAAAGACGTTCAGCCGATCTCTCAGTTGGCATAAAACATAAATGGCATGCTGCGGAAATTTTGGCTAGCTCCGCAATGCCCTGCATTGTTTCGGCACGAATCAAGATTATGGCTGTCAGCATAAATCGTCGACTCAGCGGAAAGCGGAGTATTAGACATCCATTTGATGGTGAAATATGTCGAGATATAAAGATATTCCCTTAGAGCTATTTTCCATGGTGGTGAGATTGGTGTAAACCACTCCTGAATTGTGAGCCTTTTTGCTTCCTTGGGAGAAAAAAAATAATAATTATTTATAAACAGTAAGATTTCTCTTACTTTTATACAGCGATGCTCTAAAATGTAAATACAGCAAGTAAAATATTGTTGCATTTCAGTAATTCAGTGGAATGGCCTTTTAAGCAAGATCACAACCAACTATAGCTATATTTTTATTTTCACCCATCTCAATACACCCATTAGGTAATTAAATCTCAAATACGCCTTTGGTCTAGAATCCACACTCATAAAAAATAAATTCATGAACAAAAGGTTTCTTGGACAAGGAAGGAGTTGTAACATAAATATCAAAAGGGTGTATTCCAAGGAAGACAAATTTTCAAGGAATATCTTGATTTATTTCACTATAAAACAGCATTCGACAATATTGAATGAACTAGGAAATGTTTCTTTTTCTCACCTGCAATATTGATTTCATATCTCATGACAAATTCAAAAACAGTTGCCAGAAATGATTTATAGCATACCAGCACCACCTACTGCTGACAGCCATAATCATGTCACATGTTGCAATGTTCAGTGCTAAGACACTGAATGTCATGACAACAACATGGCTGGGAATATGTTCGAATCTATCCATTTCTAAAAACTAGACCCTTATTACTCACATTGGACACAGTTTTCTTTTTTGAATGATTTTATTCAATGTTAGTGGGATATAGCTAAATATGTAGACCACTGTTTCTTTAGGAAGCTCCTCTTGCCTGATCGCGGTGGGAATCGAACCCACGACTTTTGGTTTTCTTACCGACTTGACCCTATACATGGTTGGCCCAGTTGGTAGAGCATTGAACTAGCAAACCAAAGGTCGCGGGTTCGATTCCCACCGCTGTCAAGTAAACTCTTCTGCTTGCCCGGTGTGGACACACTCAAAGTAGCATCAGTACCAGTGTATGCAACACCTTATAATAATACAATATTCTATATATCAGGATACTAGCATGTGTATATTTTATTTCTATTAATATTTTTCACATTGAGGACAATGGAATGCTGACATTGCATTATTTGATGATTGTAGTTTGATATCTGAACAGCCAAATCATTCTCGCATTCCCGGGTATATTCCTGCAAAAACATGCAATAATTATAAACAATAATTATACATATTCTACAATAATTATAAACCCAATGCCCGACCATCACTCTGTCTCCCTGTCAGGTGCACAAATCACCATAAATTTGTTGTCCTGGTGCACAAACACTAAGAATTCAGGGTTCCCTCGAAAAACATCATCCTCAATAGCATGCTGTTTAGAATTATTTCCTATTTTAGACAACCCTTCAGATAAATTTTTATCCAAAATTTTAATAATACACCCTTTCAATAATTACGTCATTTGGCCTGGGAGCCTTGCACTTATGAATCGAGATCCAGGAATTCAAGAGCAAAAAGTATGACGTGTGACATAAACATCGAAAGGGTGTATTTACAGGGTACCCTTAAGAATTTGGTTAAATTCAAATTCAGGCAATCCCTCAGAAATCCTCATCCCAATAGCATGCTATTCAGAATTATTTCCTATTTTGGACAACTCTAGGGATAAATTTTTATCCAAAAATTTAATAATACATCCTTTCAATAATTACATCATTTGACCTGCGAGCCTTGCACTCATGAATTGTGAGCTGGGACTCCAAGAGCAAGAAGTATGTGTGACGTAATAATCGAAAGGGTGTATTTACAGGTTACCCTGAAGAATTTTGTTAAAATTCAGGCAATCCCTCAGAAAACCTCATGCCCAATACCATGCTGTTCAGAATTATTTCCTATTTTAGACAACCCTTCGGATAAATTTTTATCCAAAAATGTAATAATACTTCCTTTCAATAATTACGTCATTTGACCTGGTAGCCTTGCACTCATGAATTGTGAGCTGGGACTCCAATAGCAAAAAGGATGTGTTGCATAATTATCGAGAGGGTGTATTTACAGGTTACCCTGGCGAATTTCGTTAAAATTCCGGCGACCCCTTAGAAAACCTAATCCATAGGGGTGTGTGTATATTAAATGGAATGGTCCCAATAGCTGAAACAATCAGATATTGAATTGGTAGACAAATTTACTTGTCAAGGTGAAAATGTTGGATGTTAATATAAAAAAATGCTTTTGAATGATTATAATAATAATAATAATAATAACGAATTTATTGTAGCCTTCCATTTTACATGGCTCTTCATCTACAATGTAACTACTTATTTACTACTTATATACTACTTATAATATATGCTACTTCTTATCATTAGTTAAAACATTAAAATATTGTACATGCACATGCTAGAGTACTGGAACGTAAAAGTTAACCCAAACGTTCTCTTGCTTGATCGAAGAGAAATACTCTTGTTTCAGCACAAAATGTTTCAAAGTTTTTCTC